CTCTTTCTCTGCATCCTCGCCAACATCTGTTGTTGCCTGCATTGTTCATGTTAGCCATTCTGACAGGTGTGAGGTGGTATCTCATGGTGGTTTTGATTTGTGTTTCCCTGATGATGAGTGACGTTGAGCATTTTTTCATGTGTCAGTTGGCCATCTGGATGTCCTCTTTGGAGTAGTGTCTATGCATGTTTTTGCCCATTTCTTCACTGGATTATTTGTTTTTTGGGTGTTGAGTTTGATAAGTACTTTATAGATTTGGATACTAACCCTTTATCTGGTATGTCGTTTGCAAATATCTTCTCCCATTCTGTCGGTTGCCTTTTAGTTTTGCTGATTGTTTCCTTCCCTGTGCAGAAGCTTTTTAGTCTGATGAGGTCCCAGTAGTTCATTTTTGCTTTTGTTTCCCTTGCCTCTGGAGACATGTTGAGTAAGAAGTTGCTGTGGCCAAGATCAGAGAGGTTTTTTGCCTGCTTTCTCCTCGAGGATTTTGATGGCTTCCTGTCTTACGTTGAGGTCTTTCATCCATTTTGAGTTTATTTTTGTGTATGGTGTAAGAAAGTGGTCCAGGTTCATTCTTCTGCATGTCGCTGTCCAGTTTTCCCAGCACCACTTGCTGAAGACACTGTCTTTATTCCATTGAATATTCTTTTCTGCTTTGTCAAAGATTATTTGGCCATACATTTGTGGGTCCATTTCTGGGTTCTCTATTCTGTTCCATTGATCTGAGTGTCTGTTCTTGTGCCACATTTGAAGTTATTTTTAATTGGAATGTTTGAGGTACTGTCCACAAGTCGGGACACTCCAGTCTAAAAGCTGGACCTTTTCCAGTCACTGGTGGAGGCACCGATTGACGCAGAAGTCAGAACTCTTCCTTTCTCTCTTTGTGTCCTGGGCCTGTGTGGGTATGAGTCCTTGTGGGACATTTTTCTCACCCCTCACTTGTGGGCACTGCATTGGGTGATGTGCTTGGTGTCCTCCAGGCCTCACTGCCTGCACCTGGATACCTTCTGGTATCCTCAGTTTGTCCTGGACTCAGGGGCTCAGTTCTTATTTGGTAGCTTATGGAAAAGAATAATGTTATATCTCCATCTCACAATGTGCAGAAAAAAAAAAATATTCCATGTAGTTGAAAGATTTAAATTTTTTTTTTTTTCAACGTTTATTTATTTTTGGGACAGAGAGAGACAGAGCATGAACGGGGGAGGGGCAGAGAGAGAGGGAGACACAGAATCGGAAACAGGCTCCAGGCTCCGAGCCATCAGCCCAGAGCCTGACGCGGGGCTCGAACTCACGGACCGCGAGATCGTGACCTGGCTGAAGTCGGAAGCTTAACCGACTGCGCCACCCAGGCGCCCCTGTAGTTGAAAGATTTAAATGTGAAAAGTAAAACTAAAACTTTTTAGATAAAAATAATTGGAGAGTATCTTTGTGATCTCAAGGTAGGAAGGAGCTTCTTCAATAAAACAACCAAAGCCCAAACTGTAGAGGAAATGATTGATAGATTTTACTGTATCAAAATGGGAAACTGTGGTATAACATAAGTCATATACTGGGAGAAGATTTTGTAATAAATATAACAGGGAAAGGATTAGTGTCTGGAATTTAAAAATAAGTCCTACAAGAAGAGGAGAGAGAGGGGTGGGTTGGGAAGGAGGGAAGAAGGAAAATCAAAGATACAGACAGGCAGTTGATAGACGAGAAGATGTGTGTAGTCAGTAAGCAGGAGTCATAAGGAGAATTGCTCTGTCTTTCCAGTCATTTGGGGATGGGAGTTAAAAGAGCTCTTACTTGTCTATGAAATTAGCAATACTATAAAAAAATCTAACTTTCCCAATAGCCAAGAGGTAGAGACAACCCAAGTGTTTTTGACAAATGAATAGATAAACAAAATGTAGTAAATATCTACCCTGGAATATTATCCACCTTTAAAAAGGAAGGAATCTCTGTCACATACTATGGCATGGATGAACCCTGAAGGCATTCTGCTAAAGGAAGTCAATCCATCACAAAAAGAGAAATACTACATGATTCCATTTGTATGAGGTGCTTAGAGTTGTCAGATTCAGAGAGAGAGAATACAGAAGGGAGGCTCCTGGGGCTGAGGGGAGAGGGTGATGGGGGGGGCTGTTGTTAATGGGGATTGAGTTTCAGTTTTGCAAGATGAAAAAGTTGTGGAGGTGGGTCACACAACGGTATGGATATACGTAACACTACTGAAATGGACACTTAAAAATGTAAGAAAATGGTGAAGACTGTTATGGCCATGTAAACTTCCAACAAACAGGCAAAGAACGCAGATGTGTTCATGTAGTGAAATCCTACTTGCGTTGCTTGACCGCATCTCAAAAGCAACATTGAATAAAAAGGAGAACACATGGTATGATACCATAAGAGATTTTTATGAATAATAGGGAGAATGAATAAAGTATCGTGCATGGAGATGCGTGGCAGCAAATTTAGGGGAGTGATTGATTCAGGAGGGGAAGGGGGGGTGCTGGATAGAGGAAGAATGTGGTGGGGACTTTAGCAACACCCATAATGCTTTATTTCTTGGGAGAACAGTTCGAGACATGTGACAAGATAGCAGGATTAGAGCTGGGTGGTGAGTACTTTAAAACCCACTCATGTTGGTTTTTTTTCTCTCTCTCTCTCTCTCTAAAATAAATAAACATTAAAAGGATTTTAACTGCCAAATAACCTATTATTGCTTTTTAATTTAATCTAATTTTAATTTTTTTAATGTTTATTTATTTTTGAGAGAGAGAGAGACAGAGACAGAGACAGAGAGAGTGCATGCAAGTGAGTGGGGGAGGGGCAGAGAGAGAGGGAGACACAGAATCTGAAGCAGGCTCCAGGCTCCGAGCTGTCAGCACAGAGCCCGACACGGGGCTTGAACTCATGAGCTGTGAGATCATGACCTGAGCTAAAGTCAGATGCTCAACCGACTGAGCCACCCAGGCACCATCCCAATTTTTTTTTTTTAACATTTATTTATTTTTGAGACAGAGACAGAGCATGAATGGGGGAGGGTCAGAGAGAGAGGGAGACAGAGAATCTTAAGCAGGCTCCAGGCTCCGAGCTGTCAGCACAGAGCCCGACGTGGGTCTTGAACTCACGAACTGAGAGATCATGACCTGAGCCGAAGTCAGAGGCTTAACCGACTGAGCCACCCAGGCGCCCCTATTACTGGTTTTTAAAAATGAGTTTGTATTTCAGTGTCCTTGCCTTGTGAGATTTCCTTTGCAGGAAAGAGTTTTGCTTGAAAGAAGAAAATAAGGAAGCCAACTAGGAAAAAAGGGAGCAACAAGAGTAACTGCCCCGAATGGGCAGATTTGTGGGGTGCCCTTCCTCTCTGATGTCTGCGATCCTGGGAGCTAGGGCTTACATCTTAGGGGAACAGACTCACCTTCCTTGTCTCTGGGATTCTGACTTCTGGCTCTCATTTGTCATGTTTATTGAGAGTGGACATTCCCTTCCAAGGGAGCGGTCGGTATCCTAGCTTCTTCTGGTTCTTGGTGCTGCGAAAATCTGATAACCCTGGGTCCACACTGAATACGCAGATGACACCTGGTGTGTTGCAGTCGGAAGAGTTAAGCGAGCTTTGCTGGTTGAGTCCTATCATTGGAGGAGCAAGGAAACTGGAATCCAGAGATGTGGAGTGACCCACCCAAGGGCTCAGATCCCCTGTCGTGCTTAGCAGAAGTCAGAAGGCCCCTGGCAACTAATGAACTCATCTTGCTGTTTACCCTTTAGAGCAGCACCTCGAGTGAACTTCAGTACCTGTAATTCAGAGTAGACCATCCTCTTGCTTACAAGCCTTGCATGGTTCCCATCTCGCTCAGGGTACAGTTTTTGCTTGCTGTGAGCTTTGGAGCTGTGCCCACTTCTGCATCCTCTTTTCACTTCAGCCTTGTTTGTGGGGCTCTGACTGGAGCCCTGCCCTTCTCTTCTCTTTGTGCCTAGACCATGTGTGCTGGTCCCTGCCTCAGGGCCTTTGCACTTGTTCACCTCTGTGTGCTCTAGCTGCTGCTCTTCATTTGCATCCAAGCTCAGAAGTCACCTTCTTAGAGAGGCCTCCTTAAGCCTTAGCCCCTCTATATTTTCTTAGTAGCCCTGATTATGATCTGAAGTTATTTTAGTTATTATTTTTATAATGATAACTCTCTCTACCTCTCTACTTGTCTCTTTGTGTTTGTTTCTGCCCATGAGGATAAAAGGTCCCTAGGTCACAGTCTTTACATGACCTGTTCAGCATCACCGGCATCTAGAATATGTTAGGTACTTGTACTGGGGGTCCTCAACATCTCCCCCCAGGTTTCGTGATTTGCTAGGAGGATGTATAAGACTCGGCATATAATCACACCCAGGGCTAAAAATTTCAGTGAAAGGATCCAAAGCAAAATCAACAAAGGGAAGAGGTGCGTGGGACAAAGTCCAGAGGACTTTGCGAGTTTCTGAGAGTCCTCCCCTGCGGAGTCACATGGGACACGCTTAATTCTTCTGTCATTGAATTGTGACCTACTCCCTGCCCCGGGGTTTTAGTGGGGTCTGGCCGTACAGGCACCCTCTGCTGAGCATGTACTGAAATTCTGGACTCCCAGGAGAAAACACGTGCTCAGCCTAAGCCACGCTCTGTCCAGTCCAGGCACGGGGACCCCCTCATCGCCTTGAGGAACGTTTTACATGAGTGTAGGGGACTGCTTGCCATTGAAGTTCCCAGCTGCCAGCCAAGAGTCAGCTTGTAAGCAGGTCTTTCTAAGGATAGACGTCTCGGGGCTGCAACAGTAACTCCTTTCTCCCTCTTCGGAAATATTTGTGAGTGAGTGAATTGGCCAGTGTGATTGAGAGGCCTGTGGAATCACATCTCGAGCCTCCCAAAGGCCAGAAGGTGTGGCCTCCCCTCCTTTGTCAGCAGTAATACCCCTGGACGGAGGACAGTGGCGAGCCCGCCCTTCCTCCTGTCCTCAGGTCCTTGGTAAGTGTGTCTCTCTGGTCCCTAGGTGTTGAAACACAACGGGTCGTCAGAAATTCTCAATAAACTGTACGACACGGCCATGGACAAGCTGGAGGTGGTCAAGAAGGACTATGATGCCCTGCGGAAGAGGTACAGCGAGAAAGTTGCCATCCACAACTCCGACCTGAGCCGCCTGGAACAGCTGGAGGAGGAGAACCAGCGTCTGCTGAAGCAGACGGAGATGCTGACTCAGCAGAGGGACACGGCCATCCAGCTGCAGCACCAGTGTGCCCTCTCCCTGAGGAGGTAAGAGCCGCCCGTCCGCCCGTCTCCTGTGCGAAGAGAACGGCCAGAGGGCCAAGTGGGTCTTCTCTGCCTTGGGACCGCTCTCCTTTGTGGGCTTATTGTTATCTGCAAGGCTCTCCGCTGTTCCCAAGGAGTGAAAAAAAAAAAAAAAAAAAAAAAAAAAAAAAAAAAAAAGGGAAGGCACAAGTGACTGTGCGTTTTCATTTGAAAAGAATATTTTGGAAATGTTTTGTTGGCACTCAGTGTGGCTTGGGAATTGCACTTTTTCCTCCCGTCTGAACAGCTCTGATGTGTTCTGATCACCTCGTTTCTTACATCTCCTCATAAGCCTCTCCCTTCTGTGTCATCTACCCGCCCAGCATAGGAGAGTTATTCATCCTAGGCATTGTTTCTTCTAAAATTTCACTTTTTTAAAGGTATAAAATCTGTAGGGAAGTGACCCTTGCCCTCAAACACTGTTTCGTAAGGTACATTCCTGCAGAACCCCAGTTCTCTGGAGGGTTCACTGGTGTCCTATGCATGCTGTTCTCTGGATGTAAAAGGGATTAGGAGTTGCCAGGTTATACTTAGACAGGTTATACTTATACGGTTGCCAGGTTATACTTAGACAGAAGTCTGCGGGACTTCTCAGAGCCTTCACTCTGATACTCTGTACTAGTCTCTCCAGGAGGGGGACACAGTGTTTCCCAATGTAAGGCCATCAGAGAACACACTTTTTTTTTTTTTTTTTTTTATGGCGTTTCATGAAGGATTGGCATTCTAAAGAACATGCATTCACAAATGCTTCTATAGAGCTGCAGGCTCTGATTTGCAGGGTTGCCTGTGTGGAAGGTGCCTCCTGGCCAGAAGGACTCAGCTGTGTTCTCGCCCCAGTCACCCACACCCAGGCCTTATCATCTGTATCTGAAAAATGAGGTGGTCGGACTAAATGATCATTAAGTCCATGTTTACCTCTTATATGCTGCGATTCTAGCATCGTTTTGTTTTTATTTTTTAAAAATAATGTGGCTTGACTGTGGAAGAAATACACTGTTATTCCTAGTAGAGCAGAGGGCATGAAGTCCTCAGATCAACTTCTGGTATTTGTAAAGGCTGAGAAAAATTCCAGGTCCGGGGGCACCGGCACTCCGTGACTTTCCTCTGTCGGAGGTGCGGATGACCTCACTCGAAACTTCATGCTTGACTGTCCAGTACGGCGGCACGGCCTGGGCAGGTCCCCGCCCCCCGCGTCCCAGCTGCCTCTCTCCCCCAGGTTTGAGGCCATCCACCACGAGCTGAACAAGGCCACAGCCCAGAACAAGGACCTGCAGTGGGAAATGGAGCTGCTGCAGTCGGAGATGACCGAGCTGAGGACCATGCAGTTAAAAATGGCAAAGGAGTCGGAGAAGTACAAGGAGGAGCGGGATGCCGTGTACAGCGAGTACAAGCTCATCATGAGCGAGCGCGACCAGGTCATCTCTGAGCTCGACAAGCTGCAGACCGAGGTGGAGCTGGCGGAGTCCAAGCTCAAGAGCAGCACGTCTGAGAAGAAGGCGGCCAGCGAGGAGATGGAGGCACTGAGACAGGTGGGTGTGGGGCGGCTGGCCTCCCGCCTCGGGGAAGGCAGGGCGATGGGGGCCACGGCATCCGCACTGGTAGCCTCCTCCTGTTTGGTCTGCGTGCTGGCTGAGTTATCGAATGCGGCCTGGGTAGCTGCTGAGCTCACACTTGGGGCCCGGCTCTAGCGTGCCGCAGAGCATGCAAAGGGAAGTCCGACTGTGGTCCGGGCCTTGGAGCTTAGAGCATAGCAAGAAAGTTGCAGGACATGCACAGACAAGCGTGGGCTCCGCTCACAGGCACTCTCACACCCAAACCCTTGGTTAAGTGATTGTAGATCAGCCTTGTGTTGATGGTCAGTGTGTGTCTCAAAGATTTGCTCACTGAGAAGCAGGATCCCAAGGACAAGGGCTTAAAGCCATCCATACCTTTGGCCTTGTGAATTCAGGAGAGCACCCTCAAGGATTTTTTTCCCCTCTACATCTGAGGAGTCTGCTCTTTAAAGGGATCATCTGGACTCCGGCTGGGAAGATGTGATAGTAGGCTGAGCACAAGGCCCTTCCCTTGCTCCCTGGGGCACATGGCCTCCAGGTTCAGCTGCTAGGGGTTGAGTAGCATCAGAACTGAGCCAGAAAGCTTGACTCCTGAGTGATCAGCAAGGAGTCTCTACATCTTTCCTACCTGAGCCACCTTGGCCTTGTTGCTAACATATTTTTCCCTCAGGTTCATGTGTGTGCTTCTGGGGTTCGTGTGGACTGGTGGACTCCTCCTATTTGAGATTCCCTTCCCATCCTGTTGGTTGGGAAGAGCTGCTGAAATTGATCACAGCAGACTTTTATCCCATTGAAATAGTTCTCCATTCCTGCCTCTCCATTCTACTTGCTCTGCAGCTCTGTTAGAATGCAGTCTTTAAGACTGGTCTGTGAGAAGAGAAAAGCAAGGTGTTAAACGTCGGGCAAGTAGGCAGGGGCAGCATGCATTAGATTAGTGTACCCAGCGCCCTCCAGACTGAGCATGAGGCAGGGCTGATGCCTGAGGGGTGGGCCAAGGCCTGTGAGGGTCTCTGCGGACAGTGATGCCTCCTTATGCCCAGGCGGTGCGAGGGGCTGTGGGAATGCAAGGGACAGGGCCCTGTGCTTGGAGAGGGGCGCTCCTCACTCATGGGACCTCCTACCTCTCTGGGCCTCAGTTTCCTCATCTACAAAATAGAGACAATAGCAGTGCCTCACAGGGTAGCTGTGACAGTCCAATGGATGCATGTGGAAAACACACTTAGAATGGTGCCCCGTAAAGTAGGAATGATTTGAGTGTTTACTTTATTGTTAAGATGATTATTATGCCTGTCTGGATCTTACTGCCTCTTGGGACTAGGGTGAGCACTGTGAAGTTGTTTCTGTAGGCAAAAGTGGGCCAGATGGGAGCAATTTAGTATAACGGGGGTGGGGGGGGGAGCTGAGACTTATCCAGGCCGTGAGGACGAAAGCCTCATGAAAAGGAATATCTACTTTGATGAAATTTTTACAAGACCATGATGAAGGAATTTTTAATAAGCACAGATAATATATTAGGACTTGGGCATTGTGCCAGAGAAACCATCCCTTCGCTTTTTCATTCTGGTATCTGAGAGCTTAACTGTTGGGGGATGTGGATATTAAAGAAGGAAGACAAAACGATGAAGAAGGAAACTTTGGAAGTGACTAGTCAGTCACTGAACGAAAAGGTCCAGGAGAATGTGTAAAAGGCATGGAAGGTGGTAGGACAGCAGCCCCCTCGAGGGGTTTTCAAGGTTCTGGAGGTTAATGGTGCTCTTGTAGGGGTGTGATAGAGCTCCCAGTTTCCCGCGGTGCCAGCAGCTGGTGGCGGTCTGCCGTCCCCCCCCTTGCTCCCAGCACTCAGCATGCCCTTCGGCCTGGAGCCCAGTTTCCGGGCCTTCGCAGGGGGCATTGGCTGGATGCCAAGTCTGCCTGTCAGCTGAGGCAGGAATCTAGGCACTGTTCCGAGTCAGCGGGCCGGACAGGAGAAGCTCTGCTCCCGTCCCAGCAGCTCCCAGAGCTGAAACTCTCCGCTCCTTCTCCAGTTTGTCTGGCTTCTCAGACAAGACCACTCCCCACCTGGCCAGAGGAGGCCAGGTCTGTGGCCTTGGCGGTCCTGGCCTTGAGGTGCCGTTGGGAGGATCTTATCTCCCCCATGGTCTGATGAGGCCCCTTGGGGTTGACCCCGTCTCTGTCCAGCAGCCGCCTCCTGGCAGGGTCAGCCAAGGTCGGCCTTCTAGCCAGGCTGCCTCCCTAATCTCGGAACTGTCTTCATTGTGCTCAGCCGAGGAGGGGGCTCCTTTTCTTTCTGACAGACTGCGTGTTCTCTACACTGTTCCTTTCTCTTTGTTCCTCCCTCTTCACTGACCCTCTTTCCTCGCTCACCTCACCCCACCCCTGCCTCTTCTCTGCCTGTTCTACACTCTTCTCTGGAGTGCATTTTGTGGTGAAAAGAGGGCTTTGGGGGGCCTGTTAGGGTCTTTGCCTGGCTCTGGATGCTGCCCTCTCTGCAGCTTCCCCCTCCCTGAATGGCCGTGTCCACAAGGGCCTCCCTGTCTAGGGCTGCTGCCCCAGCCTCTGGCCGCTGGCTGACCAGGTCCCGTGAAGGCTCGCTGCCCTCAGGATGGGAAGGAACTGCCTGGGGCAGCTGGTCCTTGCCACTGGGAAGCTGTGGGGCACCGCTGCCTATCACAGAGGTTCTTCTAGATGACAAGTTATGTCCCAAGACCATCCTCTCTGGCAGAGCTCCTGTCCCATAGAAAGGCCAGCTTGGTCACTCAGGCTGGCAGTGGCTTCCCGTGTCCCTGCCTTCCTGCTGTACCTCTGACTTGTAGTATTGTGGAGCTGAGCTCGGTGCGGGGGGACAGAGTGGGAGCCGCGTGTGACGGGGGGAGGAAGTACTGTTGGACAGGGAGGACAAGCAGGGGAGCGGGAGGGCGTGCCAGGAACTTAGAGGCTGTCACATGTTGCCCAAATAGAAGAGACCAGTGTGCTCAGGGCGGGCTGCCCGCTCGGGGAACATTGCCCTCTCCCTGGATCCTGGTGAGCCTCTGCTGGGTCTTTCTTGTTGGCTTCATGCCTGGCCCCAGTGAGTGTCTCGTGAAAGCCAGTCCCTCTCTTCCTGAGCCTGTGGCCCCATGCTCCCCCAGGGCGGACAGGAGGTACGTGTTGGGGGTGCTGTGGCAGAGTAAGACCTGGCCCTGGCAGGCACAGCACGGTGCAGAGCAGGAAGCCCTGGAGTGGCCATGGGAGACCTGGGATGGAGTTCAGCTCCTGGCTGATGGGTGGGACCCGGGACCAGTCACTTCCTGGGCCCTGAGCACCCTCATCCGAATTATCCGGGGACCGGATGAAGGGACCTCAGTTCCCAGCTCTGTTGCGCTTTTAAAATACTCCTTGTTCTTCTCCCCTCTCAGTAAAAAACCAAGTCTTGTGCTTCTTGTGTTTCTCACATGGACACGGTGTTTGGGGAGCGAATTCATTTTGGAGATGAACAATTGGGGGAGAGGGTGGGAGCTGCCTAACACCCGGGGCTGGCCTCCAGTGTGTCACCTCAGGCCAGAGTGCAAAGACCTTTCCGTGACACCATGTGGAAACACACTTCTTATATCCAACTACTAACATATAAAACACCGAGTAAAGTGTTAATTTAAGTGTTATCGTTAAACCTACTATTTATAATAAATTCTTGACATCTTTAATAGCAGTAATCAGTTTTCAAAAAAATGGCAAACTAGACAGACTCCCAACACTGCATGAAAGTGGGGAAAATCAAAACCGAAGTGCTTTGAACTGATGTTGGGAAATGTGAGGTCTGAGCACGAGCATACCAGCCACCGTGTCACTCTGGGTTAAGGTGTACTTTCTGTGCAGACTTTTTTCCAGCTTCTCCTGGGTCTGTACTCGAGAGAGGAGGGGTGATGGTGAGATGGCTCCGTGTACTTTCCTTTCTTTCCTCATCCTCATCTGTCGTCTGAACCTTTGGGATCTTTTTGGACGCGTCTGTCAGGGGCTGTGCGTCCAGCTCCTCTGCGGAGGGTGAGCCGTGGAGTCCGCAGAGGCTTTCTTGCTGTGTTTGTCGTCTTTATTCTTTTTGCAAAGAGGGGGGGATTCCCAGCACAGACATCAGTGCCTGCCTCTTGTGTCCTGTTTGTATTTTGCTTCTGAAAGCCCTTGAACCGAAGTGGGATTCCTCCTGCAGTAGATGCTCACTGTGTCCTTTGTCATTTTCCCCGTGTTTTCTAAGGGTTAGAGAGACGCAGAGGGAGCTTTCTACACGAGAGCTTCCAGGCATTTGACTTGAAACTGTAGCAGAGCATGTAATGCTTTGAGGAGGTGTCAAGATGCAAATGTTTCAGATTTTGGCTTTTTAAACAAACTGAGAGACGCAGGATTTCACCAGCAAAGATGCTGGTATATGTTCAGATTTAAAAATAACTCCATGTGCCGGAGCATAAAAACCAGTTTTGCAGACACAGAGGGTTGGGAATTATCATGATCGACGTCTACACCCTTCACTGCAGTCAGTCCTTGTGTCGTTATGTTTTGACAGGAGAGCTCTTGAGAGACACACGATGTGCGATGTGAGCCTTGCGAGTGGCAGCGGGGAGGAGCCTGGAGCAAGCACTCCAGGGGAGGCATTCCACCTGCGCCACTGAGACCTCGGCCACACCACACAGGGGCTGGGGTTCTGGTCCAGGCTCTGCTCTGTGGGGCTGGGAGAGCTTGGACTGGACCCTACCTAATGTCACTAGGCGTCTTGAGTATGGCTATGGGACATGGAGTCACCGGGGGTGCAGGTGCATGCAGGGGTGTGTTGGGATGGGCTCAGGCTAGGATCCCATGTTTCCCTCCATCCAGCTCCTGAGGGTTCAGCCCAGCCCCTGCACCGGCTGGAGGGTGCTTCTCACCCGAAGGCTCACTAACTGCCCCGTCTGCTTGCCCCTTGACCCCACCAGATGAAAGACACGGTGACAATGGATGCTGGGAGAGCCAACAAGGAGGCTGAAATCCTTCGAAAGCAATGCAAGGCTCTGTGCCAGGAACTGAAGGAAGCCCTCCAGGAGGCGGACGTGGCCAAGTGCCGGCGGGACTGGGCCTTCCAGGAGCGGGATAAGATCGTGGCGGAACGGGACAGCATCCGGTACGGGGAGCCCCTGGGCTGGTGTGGGCTCTCATCTCTCACATGCTCTGGGTCTCTGGGGATGGTCGGAGTCACTTGCCACATGTCCAGGTAAGGTGGGAGTGACCGTCGTTCCTCCCTTCTCACCTGAGGTGGTGCCCCAGCCTTGCTTCATAGCGTTAGAAGTGTCTGCTGCAGCCTAGATGTCTGCATGTGCGTGGAGACTGGATGAGACCCTCCCCCTGCCATGAGGTGGCACAAAGACAGGGTTTTCTCTTAGGGGACTTCTGATGAAATGGACATATCAAAAATGCACTCTTTTAGTTGGTATTCTTTGGGCACCTGCTGTGTGCCAGGATGGTGGGTCCCTCATACAAGGACACCCTGGGACTCCCGGACAGGTGTGGTGCCCTTGAGGGGCCAGCGCTGTGGGGGCCACGGCAGCTTTGTCGGACAGGGCAGCAAGGGAGGGACACAGAATGGTGAATTCCAGGGTCACAGTTAGAACTGTGATGGGGGCTTGCAGGGCACTGGGGGAACTGGTGTGGAGTCTCCCCAGAAAGCATGAGCTTGAACTGAAGCTCGAGTGGAGGTTTTCCAGGTGGAGGAGGGTGATGGGTGTTACAACCTGAGGAAACATGAACAAAGGTGTGTGGTTTGCTCAGGGCAGGGATATGCTCGTGGACTTGGGGGAGTCCCAGGAGAGGTGGCTGATGGGGTTCCTGAGGACAGGCTATAAGGGCCTCGAAAGGGAAGCCCAGGAGCGTAGCCTTAATTCTTGGTGGGGGTAGAGCCACGAGGGGCTATGGTGGTGCTGGTGGTGATTTGGTCATTGAGAGTTTGCAAACGATCCCTGTGGTTAGAGACTGACGTCTACCCGGGCTGCTCAGGAGATGAGGGTTCAGGATTGGAGGGATTGGGGGCCATGGAGAGATGGGGACCAGCCCTTAGGTGCCATCCTATGACAGGATGCAGTTCTGGAGGTGACCCAGAGCACGCGCTCCCTGGCTGCCAGGTCACCTATCCCTACCTTCTCTGAATGGCTGAGGTGGTGCTGGGGCCCCAGGAGCCCCGCATCCTTTGGTGGGGAGTTGTCAGGCCTGCACTTTGCACTCACCTGCACAGAGACTGCACAGGGCTGCAGAGACGATGGAGACATGATTGCTGTCCGAGTGGGGGGCTCAGTCTAGTTGCAGGGTGGGGGACAGCTCTAGCAAGGCCTGCATGGGGGTAGTTATGAGGCTTGTGGTAGGTGATGGGATAGCAGGGTCTGCCCGGTGGGCTGCGGCTGGGGCTGGGGGTGGGCATTCACCCAGGCACGTTGAGGGCAAAGCAGTGGGAAGAGCAATGGATGTTCAGAACCCATTACCCAATAACTGCGGAGGTGTCTCCTTCCTGGTCCTCAGCGTCTTCTCTCTCCCTGGATGGGGTTGGCCTGGGTGGCTTCCCGTCCAGATTTTCCAGCACTGCTGTGCATTTGGAGGCAAGGCAGGCACCTGGGGTGTCTGGGGGATAGGCCGTGAATCCTCTGCCCCCTTACCCTCACGGTGACCTTGGCCTCTGCCCTGTCTGCCAGGACGCTCTGTGACAACCTAAGGCGGGAGCGGGACCGGGCAGTGAGCGAGCTGGCCGAGGCCCTGCGCAGCCTGGATGACACTCGCAAACAGAAGAATGACGTCAGCCGGGAGCTCAAGGAGCTCAAGTATGTTGGGGCAGGTGCCTGCGTGGGGGGACAGGGTGGGCACCTGCCTGGGGGTGTAGGGGCCCCTCTGCAGGCAGGGCAGGGCTGTCTGTCCCTTCACTGTGCCTTACTCTGTCAGCCTGTAGAATGGGTCTGAATGCCACCTCCATGCTGAGAGGTGATTAGACATTCTTAGGCCATCACAGAAGATGGCAGCCCTTTTGTGAGCACACAGAGACAGACTTTGCACACCGTGTGCAAAGGTACATAGGAAGGAAACTCTCTGTTCAGAGGCAGTGCATTTGGGGACAGGCATGCATGTACTGTCCATTCATTCATGCATTCATTCATTTGTTCCCTTTCTACCTCATTCATTCACCACCTCTAGGATTTACCAAGCGCCTGCTGTGTATGGGCCAGGCCTGTGGGAGGCCCTGGGGGAGGCCCTGGGGGAGCTGAACAGAGGACCAGGTCTCTGTCTGTGGGGCTCACAGCACACAGGAGAGACAGACCACCATTCACTAGTCCGTTCTGCCTGTGTCGTGCGGATGCCCATGTGAGAGAGACTGGGGTGTCAGGCAGCCTCCCCTCGGTTATAGCACTGCACCCAGGGCTGTGATTCAGGACATGGTGACCCTGAGCAATGGACTGAAAATACAAAGATCAAAGTTAAAAGGAGAGATTGGCAGAACCCAGGAGCTGTCACTGTAGGGTAGAACAAGGCTGTCCTGAGAAGCAGTGGCTGTCTGTTGTGAGAAACTTGCTCAGCTGATAGAGCGGTATAGGGTGGTGAGGAGCATGAGTGTGAGTGTGCAAGCCTCGCTTGCTCGAGCAACGCCTTTCACACGGAGTGACAGCTTTCCCTCCCTCCCCATTCAGTAACCTCTAACATGAGCCAACCAGCTTTAGTTATTAGATGAAAACCCAGAACCTCTTGGGCTTGAGTACTCTAAAGACAATCTCAGGGGCTAAGAGGCAAAGTGAAGCACTCTCTCCAGAGACCCACCTTGGGTCTAGCAAGTGATGGAATCAAATTAAGGTAAAGCCTGGCCCCTGGGGGCTTGAGCTCGGGAGAAAGTTTTGCATTTTAATTGAGCTGGAATTGCCTGGAGCTTCTAAGGAAGTCAAATTCCACTTGTTGTTCTGCACGTTTGAATTTGCACCTCCTCTTTGTTAAGCTTTCTAACTGGTGCTGCTGCTCAGGGACCCCCAGTCTGCAGAGGCAGCAGACATGCCCCGGCGGATGAGAGATGAGCAGGTGCAGTGAGCATTAAACACAGAGCTTCAGGCTGCACAGGGCTAGTGGGGGTCGTGTCCAGGGAAGAAGGCTTTGGGGCTCTGCCTTGAGGCTGGGTGGCATTCTGGAGCCGGCCAGTGAGAGCACAGCCCAGACAGAGATGTGGACCTGCAAGCCTGTCCATTTGAGAAGAAACCAGAAGGAGGTCATGAGTATGCCCCAGAGCCCAGTACCGATGAACTGTAAAGGCTGGGTGCGGGTTTTAGGACAAAGGGTGTCAGGTGCAAGTTCCTGGGGGATAGTACAAAGTTTCTGAGTCTTTTTTCATCTCTTAACTGGGTCTTTCTTAGAGCTTAAGTCTTTGTGTATTGGTCAAATCCAACTTACTGATTTTTAATTTCTGATTTTTTAATTTTGTTGTTATGTTTTTATTTATTTTGAGAGAGAGAGAGAGTAGGAAAGGGGCAGAGAGAGAGGGGAAGAGAAAATGCCAAGCAGGCTCCACGCTGTCAGTGCTGAGCCAGACTCGGGGCTCAATCTCATGAACTGTGACATCATGACCTGAGTCGAAATCAAAGGTTGGATGCTTAACTGACTAAGCCACTCAGGTGCCCCAATTTTTAATTTTTAATTGAGTGTATGATGTCTAAGGACCCTTAACGCTTCATCTCAAAGATTTTCTCTTGTATTTTCCTTTTAAACGTGTTACAGCTTTATTTTATACATTTCAATGTGTGATACGTTTTGAGTTAATTTTTCTGTAAGATGTGATGTGTAGATTGGGGCTCAGTTTTTTTTTTTTGCCATGGGTGTGCAGGCGTTCCAGCGTCACTGGTCAAATGCTTTCTTCTGCTGAAGTATTTTAGTACCTCTCATACTTTGTGGGGGTGTTTCTGGATTCTTCATTCTGTCCCAGTGATCTCTGTGTCTATCTTCCTGCAATTCTGCAATGTCTCAATTACTGTAGCTATAAAAAAAAGTCTTAAAATCGAGTAGAGTGATTCCTCCCACTTAATTTTTCATTTTCAGAATTGTTTCAGCTATTCTGATTCCTTACCTTTCTCTCCCTGTGTGTTTTAGAATAATCTTGTCTGTATCCACAAAAAAGTGTTGCTGGCATTTCTCAAGGAATTGCATTAAACCCTGGGTTAAGTTTGGGAAGACTTTGATTGTTTTTTGAATAAACCTCCGTGAAAATGCCTTGATAGCTAAGAAGCCTTGGCGTGCGGCTCCAGATTTATTGGGAAGCTGGCAAGGAGTGTGAGAGGGAGAGGAACCTCCTTTGGCTCTCACGGTGGCCTTCCTGCCTTCTGAGCTGTGACTTGGGTGGGATGTGTTGCCTCCCTGGGGACCATCGTCATAGCCCTCTCTGTTCCTAGGGAGCAGATGGAATCCCAGCTGGAGAAGGAGGCTCGGTTCCGGCAGCTGATGGCGCACAGCTCCCACGACTCGGCCATCGACACAGATTCCATGGAGTGGGAAACGGAAATTGTGGAGTTTGAAAGGGAGACGGTGAGCTGCCCTGATGTCTTTACTCCCTTTGAATGGGGGGTGGGAGAGGATGCCCCCCTTGTGGGGTTCCCCCATTTCTCGGCTGTCACTTTGAGGCTTCGGCTTTTCTTGCCAGGGTGTGTGCATTCTTTCCCTGTCCTTGTCCAAACTGGGTTGTGACAGGTTGGTGTCCGTGGCCCCTCCAGCCACGGCTGGAGACAGTGCATGGAGGGCAGAGGGCAGAGCAGGGCTCTTCTGTAGGGACGTGTGTCTGCAGTAGCTGGAAGGGGCACATGGCAGCTGCTCCGGGCTTCATCCTGTGTTCTGAGTGCCCCATCAGACATGGTGAAGGAGCAGTCCTCACAGAGAAGCAAGTGGCTTGAGATTTCAGAGTGAAATGTTTCTAATCACTGCTTTATAAAGTGTGTGGCTACTGCTCTTTTGACAGGAGGATATTGACTTGAAGGCACTTGGGTTCGATATGGCAGAAGGTGTGAATGAGCCTTGTTTGCCGGGGGACTGTGGGATATTTGTCACTAAAGTGGACAAAGGAAGCATTGCTGATGGCCGCTTACGGTAAGAGTGGAGGAGGCCCAGGCTCTGGAGGGAAGGGCGGCCCTCTGACCCAATGCAAGGGACCCAGGGAGTCAGGTGGCTGTTAAGTGAGTGCACCCCAGGGTCTGGGGGACTCGAAGGCTCAACTGCTCACATTACCCTTAAAGGAGACTCTGTGACTCATGGGGGCCTTTGCGTCTGACCTTTCCACAGGCCCCAGGTGCTGCCCTTCACTTTTCCAGGTAGGAAAAGGCTCAGGCAGTATGGGTGAGAGTTTAGGATGTGCGTTGCATGCCCATGCCATGAAATAGCAACGAGAATAAACTACCGTTTGCTAAGTGCTGGTTTAGGCCCCTTGTATAATCAATTCGTTAATTTTTAAAATCCAGTGAGGTAGGTCTGTACTCTGCTCTTGGCCCCATTTTACAGATGAGGACACCGAGGTGTGGAGGCGCTAAGTCACACAGCTAGTAAGTGGTAGGGCCAGGATTGGCACCCAAGCAGCCTGGCCCCAGCATCTGTGAGTGTAGCCATTTGAGCCTGCTGAAGAGGAGATCTTTCTGAATGTGTGTGCGGGGCAACCGTTTTCTGACACTCATCTCCTCAGACTAGAGCGGTGGGGCCTCCCCACTGGTCCCAAGGCCTGAGCAGGTGCTGACTTGGCTGTGCCCCTCCTCAGGGTCAATGACTGGCTGCTGAGAATCAACGATGTGGACCTCATCAACAAGGACAAGAAGCAGGCCATCAAGGCCCTCCTCAACGGGGAGGGGGCCATTAACATGGTCGTGCGGCGGAGGAAGTCCCTGGGCGGGAAGGTGGTCACGCCACTGCACATCAACCTGAATGGACAGAAAGGTAGTGGGCCTGCCAAAGTGCACAGAGCACATCAGATGGCGGGGCAGACCCCTTTTTTGTGCAGAGGGGATGTTTTTGAGTTACTGATGCCGTTAAATGCAGTGCGTGTGCATCCCTGGCTGGGGGCCACCCGGGTCCTGGGTCTTGCCGGTTTCTGGGTGTTTGATTCACCAGACCAGACGTCACTGAGCCTCCGGGTGGTCTGACCTGGCCCGGGTGTTGGGACGGGCAGGTCGCAATCTGTGAATGTTCCCTTCTGGAGGGAATGTTGCCTCCTGAAGACAAGGTGGGAGGACCAGAGGGCCCTGTGAGCGGCGTGGGGGTTAACTGGATATTGCCCATGTCTGCCCTGTGGTTCACAGACAGCGGCATCTGTCTGGAGAATGGAGTATATGCTGCTGCCGTGATGCCTGGAAGCCCGGCCGCCAAAGAGGGGTCCCTCGCCGTGGGAGACAGGATTGTGGCGGTAAGCCTCAGGGCTGGGCTGTCTGCCCCACATGGAGAGTAGATGCGATTTGAGAGATTGAACAGGAAGTAACGAACAGAGATTTTATGTTAACCTTGTTCGTTAAATGGGAACAAACATTTTTTTTTCTCATAATGTGTTTCCATTGATAGTAGAAAATCAGGAAATAGAAACTTCAGGAAGAAAATAAGAATCCTAATTGCTACCACCTATAGATAACCTTTATGAACATTTTAAATGTATTTTTCGGTAGCCTTTATTCTGCACATGAATCTGTATTTAGGTCAGTTTAAACAAGATATCATCTGCATGTGATTTTTTAAAAAATCTTATTAAACATTATGTCCATTACTTTTTTTTATCACCAAAGTAAGACTTATGTGCCATAAAATAGTTAAGCAATATAGAAATGTAGAAAGTGGTAGTCCCCTCTTTTCCTTTTAATCCTGCTCCTGGAGATATTCTTTGCCCCCACTTGCAAGATGTGCTCCCAGCAGACCGTATGTCTCTTACAGATCTATATACACAGATAAAGATTTCTGGTTTTTGTTTGCTTTTTTTTTTTTTAATTTTTAACGTTTATTTATTTTTGGGAGACTGAGAAACAGCACTAGTTGGGGAGGGGCAGAGAGAGGGAGACACAGAATCTGAAGCAGGCTCTAGGTTCCGTGCTGTCGGCACAGAGCCCGACATGGGGCTCGAACTCGAGCTGTGAGATCATGACCTGGGCTGAAGTCAGACGTTTAACCAACTGAGCCACCCAGGCACCCGAGGTTTTTGTTTGCTTTTTAAGCAAATCATTTTGCGATTCCACATCATGGATACCAAATTGATCCTCATTACTTTTATCTACCTCATGGTATTCAGTTGTGCAGTAGTTTAAAGCATGCCCCCGTTGTGGACAGGTACATTGTTTTGAGTTTCTGCCATTGCAAACCACCCTGCCATGAACTTTACCTGTGTGCACAGACCTTTGGGGGACACCCAGTGGCATCCCTGGTGATCAAACCCCAAAATGCTGTAAGATTACAAAGTCTCATTTAGTATTTCTGACTAACTCATTAAGATTGAAGACACACACACACACAATCCCAGCTGTATAAAAGATGCACATGATGATATCCTTTTTCTCTGGTTCTAGACTCCTCATCTACCAGTTCCCATTATTCTGTTTTCTTCCAAAAATATTCAAAACATTTATATCTCCCTCTTTTTTCTTTTGTTTTCTCTCTTGTTTTCTTCTCCTTTTTCTTTTCTTTTCTTTTCTTTTCTTTTCTTTTTTCTTTTCTTTTCTTTTCTTTTCTTTTCTTTTCTTTTTTCTTTTCTTTTCTTTTCTTTTCTTTTCTTTTCTTTTCTTTTCTTTTCTTTTCTCTTCTCTTCTCTTTTCTTTTTTCTTTTCTTTTTTCTTTTCTTTTCTTTTCTTTTCTTTTCTTTTCTTTTCTTTTTTCTCTTCTCTTCTCTTCTCTTCTTTTCTTTTTTCTTTTCTTTTCTTTTTTCTTTTCTTTTCTTTTCTTTTCTCTTTTCTTTTCTTTTCTTTTCTTTTCTTTTCTTTTCTTTTCCTTTTCTTTTTTCTTTTCCCTCCCCTCCCCTCCCCTCTTCCCAGGTGTGATCATAATATTCTCACTTGCTAACCTCATTTTTTGTTTCCCACAGCGTGCCCTGGAGATTCTTCTGCATTTACATCTTTAGATCTGCCTAGGTCATTTCAGTAACTGCATATTCCTTAGGGGCAGCTGCTCAAGCCATTAACCAGCAGACAGGACACCTTTTCAGTGCAGCAAGGCTGTTGCTCTGTCCCTTCATGGGGGCCCACGGGGTGAATTCCTGGGTGGGGGATTGCAGGATCAGTGGGCATAAGCAGTTAGCATTTGACATGATCTTTTCCCATGTGGTCCAGGAGATCGTGGCCTTTTTGATCCCACCTGCAGTGTGTGGGGGAGTGCATTGCTTTGCATCTATGCCAGTGTTTTTCAGATTTGGGGGGATGCCAGAATTTAAAAGCAAGATGGCCATTGTGAAAAATGATAAGATGTGGAAAAATTATGAAGAAAGAAACCAACCAAATTAATCCACCACTCCAAAATAATCACTCTGCCTATTTTTTTAACTTTTGATTTTGAAATGATTACAGAAATACTTCAGTTATGATATTAAATAAATAGTATTAAAAACTAAATAAAGTGGTGAAGATAGTACAGGTGGGTCCTATGTATGCTTCATGCAGTTTTCCCTAATGGTTATGTTTTGCACGACTATATAATATCAAAACCAGGTGATTGATATTGGAACCGTGTGTGTTTATTTCCATGTCATTTTATTATCATGATTTAAGTGGAAAAAAATTTGAGCTACAGAGCTGTTCCACCGGAACAAAGATTTCCCTCCTGTTACCCCTTTATAGGAACATCCACAACCCTGCTCTCCACACCCCCCATACATAACACCTGGCAGTTAATTTGCTCTCCATCTGTATAATTCTGTCATCTTGAGGACATTATAGAAGTCAGTATGTGGCCTTTGAGATGGGCTGTTCCACCAAGCATGGTGCCATGAGATCCATCAGGTGGCTGGGGGCCCCGTCAGTGTGTCCCTGTTGGTGCTGAGCAGTATCGCATGGTCTGGTGGCACCCCAGGCTAACCGTTCACGGTTGCACATACGTGTGTTTTAAAGATTGGGACACATCTGAGAGAAATGGGGACAGAGGTTCAGGCCTAAGGGATTGTGAGAATCTTTGTGAACAGTTCACAAAGGCCTTTCACACCATGATCTCATCTTCGGTCTCCTCCCGCCCCAGGGGGCAGGCATGTTCATCTTCCACTCTGTACGTGAAGGAGTTCTGAGCCGTGGTCCTTTGTCACACAGCAGGCAGCAGTGGAGCCTGGTTGATCCCCCAGGATGCTTGGTGTTCTGGTCCCAGTCAGACAAGCACGAGAGTGCTTGCCCCGAGAGCAATGCCCCGAAAGTGATTGTAAGGCTGCGTCTTTTCTTTGCTTCGGAAGCCGCTAAACTGGATTCCTCAGGCCTTCATCAGGGAGGGCCTGTCTCTCCTTTGCTGACTCCAGACTTGGGCACCACTTGTATAGAATCACGCCCACTGTCCAGAATGGGCTGGCAGAGGCCCTGAGCTGGGGGTGGGCCTGACAAAGCTCTATGTTTGGCCCTAGATCAATGGCATTGCCCTGGACAACAAGTCTCTGAATGAGTGTGAATCTCTGCTACGTAGCTGCCAGGACTCCCTGACCCTCTCCCTCCTGAAGGTAAGGGCCCCTGCCCCACACCAGCTGCTCTCATCGGCTGCGGGGCAGGCAAAACCTCAGCTCCATACACCCGAGCTGCTGCTCTGCATCCCTGGGATCCTTGTATAAAGGGTATTGATTTACAGAGTGCAGGATGTGCATGAACCCTGATCCTGGTCTCAAAACAAAAATGGGGCGACTGAGTGGCTGAGTCAGGCATCCAACTCTTGATTTCAGCTCAGCTCATGATCTCACGGTTTGTGGGTTCGAGTCCCGCATGGGGCTCTGTGCTACAGCACAGAGCCTGCCAGGGATTCTCTCTCTCCCTCTCTCTGTGTCTCTTCTATGTTCTCTCTCTCAAAATAAACTTAAAAAGAATTTTGTTAAACAAAAACAAAACAAGACAGCTATGAAGGACATTTTGAGGACAGTGGGGGACATTCAAATCTGGACTAAATAATTAGATGATCTTAGGAACTTGATTTTCCTGGGTGCAGTGATGGTATTGGGGTTTATAGAGGCAAATGGCCTTATTTAGGGGACATGCTAAGGTTGTTAAGGGTGGGATGTCATAATATTTGTCACTTTCAAATGTTCTGCAGTATGGATAGATACAGTTTGGTAAAATACTGTTGAATCGAAATGGTGGGTTTATGGACATTTGTTGTACTTTTCTCTCAGCTTTTCTGCATAGTTGAAAAGATTTATAATAGAGATTGAGAAAAGTGGGCCCATCCACTTCACTGAGAGATGTTTTTAAAAATTAATTATCTTTAATAGACTTTTTTAGAGCAGTTTCAGGTTTATAGAAAAATTGAGCTAGTACAGAGAGTTCTCATATTCAACCCTTCTGCTTCCCCTGTTAGCATCTTGCATTAATGGGGTTCATTTGTTGCAATTGATGAATTATGATGAATTGATGTATATATGACATATATATATATATTTTTTTTAATTTTTTTCAACATTTTTAATTTATTTTTGGGACAGAGAGAGACAGAGCATGAACGGGGGAGGGGCAGAGAGAGAGGGAGACACAGAATCGGAAACAGGCCCCAGGCTCCGAGCCATCAGCCCAGAGCCCGACGCGGGGCTCGAACTCACGGACCGCGAGATCGTGACCTGGCTGAAGTCGGACGCTTAACTGACTGCGCCACCCAGGCGCCCCTGACATATATATTTAAACGTTTATTTATTTTTTTGAGAAACAGAGTGCGTGGGGGAGGAGCAGAGAGGCAGGGAGACACAGAATCTGAAGCAGGTTCCAGGCTCTGAGCTGTCAGCACAGAGCCCAATGCAGGGCTCGAACTCATGAACCATGAGATCATGACCTGAGCCGAAGTTGGACGCTTAACTGACTGAGCCACCCAGATGCCCCATTGATGAGCCAATATTAATATAATAGTATTTTTTTTAAGTTTATTTTTTTTAGTAATCTCTACACCCAATGTGGGGCTGGAACTTACGACCCTGAGATCGAGAGTTACATGCTCCACCGACGGAGCCAGCCAGGCGCCTCTGTAATAGTATTAAAGTCCATAGGTGAAATGAGGAGTCACTCTTGGTGTTGTACATTCTGTGGGTTTGGACGTGTGTGTCCACATCATAGTATCATAGAGAATAGTTTCACTGCCCTAAAAATCTTCTGTGTTCCTCCTAGTGCTCCCTTCCTTCCCACCCCGCCCCCCCCAGCCCTGCCCCTGCAACCACTGATCTTTATACCATCTCCGTAGTTTTGCCTTGTCCAGGATGTCATATTGCTGGAATCACACAGTATGTAGCCTCTTTGGATTGGCTTCTTCTGCTTAGTAATACGTATTTGAGTTTGCTCCATGTCTTCTCATGCCTTGGTAGCTCATTTCTTTTTATTGCTGAATAATTTAAAATCATGTGAATGTGCTACACGATATAGATTTTTAGTAACGAATCCTTTTTCATTTGACAATTAAAAGAGAAATACAGGCAGGGCACTGCGCAGGCAAACTGCAGATAGCGCTCCAAGTCCCTCTCTCTCTCCTGCGGGTTCACGGCCGGGTCAGCAGAGAGCGCCGGTCAGGGAGAGGTGTGCGTGCGCATGCGCCTCGCGCTAGCCGTCTCTGGGGTGTGTGTGGCCCCTGCGGGGACGACGTTCGGTGGCAGCACCGGGCTCGGCGGTCTTACCCGCTATTTCTCACTCCCTGTAACCCCCACACAGGTGTTCCCTCAGAGCTCCTCGTGGAGTGGCCAGAACATCTTCGAGAACATCAAGGACTCTGATAAGATGCTGAGCATCCGAGCCCACGGCACCGAGGTACAGGCCCAGAATAAACGGAGTCTGTTGCAGCACAATAACTCCACGCAGACGGACATCTTCTATGCGGACAGGCTGGAGGAGAGAAGGGAGCCGGGCCCCCCAGGAGGCAGCAGCTCTTCCGGGGAGCGTGGCTACGGGCTGGTGGATGTGCGCAGCCGGCGACCGCTGCTGCCCTTCGACACAGAGGGGGGCCCCTGCGGGGCGGCAGAGGCCCCCCTGGATAAGACAGAACCTGAGAGCTCCAGCAGCGGCGGGACCTGGCCCAAGGCTGTGCTCGGCTCCGCGGCAGGGCCCGAGAAGCTCTCTGTTTATAAGAAACCAAAGCAAAGAAAGTCTATCTTTGACCCTAACACTTTCAAACGCCCCCAGACTCCCCCCAAAATTGACTACCTGCTCCCAGGCCCTGGGTCTGCTCACTCTCCCCAGACCTCTAAGAGGGTGGGGCCTCTGACACCCCCAAAACCTCCCAGGAGGAGCGACTCCATTAAGTTCCAGCACAGACTGGAAACCAGTTCCGAGTCTGAGGCTACTCTGGTCGGCAGCTCCCCGTCTGCCAGCCCCCCGAGCGCACTGCCCCCTGGCGTGGACCCCGGGGAACTCACGCACACCTCACCCCCTCGCAAGGCCAGAGTCCGCATTGCTTCCAGCTACTACCCTGAAGGGGACGGGGATTCCTCCTATCTGCCTGCCAAGAAGTCCTGTGATGGGGACCTCACCTCCCAGAAGATGGACGAGCTGGGGCAGAAGCGCCGTCGTCCAAAGTCAGCTCCCAGCTTCCGGCCCAAGCTGGCTCCAGTAGTGATTCCTGCTCAGTTCCTGGAGGTAGAACTCAATCCTGGGGTGGGGGTGAAGGCGTGGGGAGGGGCCCTGAACCGGTGTCCCCAGCTTCATGTTCAGCCCTGGCTCCTTTGCCTTTGTTCTAAGCACCTACTCCAGGATGGGGTGCCTGGTGGGTGCCATGAGAAGGAGCCCTCCTTAGGAGATTGGAAAGTAATGTAGGGGGCGTGCATGTTAGTGGCCATATGATGCCAAGACAGGAACACTTTCTTGGGTGTGGTGTTTGATTTGCTTTTCCAACAAGAAGCTTTTGAACTGCACAACAAAAGCAAGTGACATGGCCCTGCCTGGAAGGGTCTTGGGAGCCAAGACAGCACTTGTGAGTCTGTCGCCGGCAGCAGGAGGCGGCGGCCAGCTTGTTTGTGTGGGTATTGTAGTCATTTTCAGATGGGAGCGATTGCTGTGAGCTGGAGAACAGATCCATGCCACTTTCTGCAGACAAAGACCCTGGCACAGGCATGCATGTTTTGAGGAGCTGTCACATCTGTGCCAGAGGCACCTGTGCATTCCACCTCCTGCACATTATTTGTTTACTTGAGAGAATGGATTCTTTCTCTGGGGTTTTCTTCCAGAGTAGTTTTGAAGGAGGTTCTTCCCTTCCAGGTGTGTAAGGCAACATGAATGAGCAGTCACCTCTCCCAACTGTCCCGTCATGTGTCCGAGTGGGAGAGCTAGTACGTAGGGGACAGACTTGCAGATGCCCGTACATTTCCATTTCCAGCCACTGTCTCTCATCTTTGGCCCTGCAGGAGCAGAAGTGTGTCCCGGCCGGTGGAGAACTCTGCCCAGAGCTTCAGGAATGGTCCCCTTACTCACCAGGGCACCCCAGCAGGCACAGCAACCCCCCATTCTACCCTGGCAGGGCATCTGTGGGTGAGTTGTTCGGGCTGGGGAGGAGGGTCCATGGTGGGCTCGCAGGGCCCTGTATGAGATCTGTATGAGCATTCTCCCAGGGAGAGTGGAATCAGTCATGTCAAGATGCTGCTGTGTGTCCTCAGCCCTGAGGTCCAAAGATCTAGCAATGACTTCCCCTCTCTGAGATGTTTAATCTTCTATCAGGGACATTTCTTAGCTTTTCAGACCACCTCTCCATAGCAGCCCGGGAAATAGGAAGCCATAAAGTGAGTTCTCCCATTTTACAGATGCAGAAAGCCAATAGTTTGCACAGGTCTGGGGCAGGCTGGGTGCTTTGGGGTGATTGTTCTTACCCAGTCCATTTCTAGGTACTGTTCCCCGGAGTATGACCCCGAGCACCACTGTGAGCTCCATCCTGAGGAACCCCATCTACACTGTGCGTAGCCACAGGGTCGGCCCATGCAGCTCTCCGCCTGTGCCCAGAGAGGTTGGCCCCCAGGGTTTGCACCCCAGGTATGTAAAGTCACCCCCCACTTACCTGCACGCCAGCCGGCCAAATTCGTGTGCACAAAAAGCTACTGGTTCACAGAGTGGCCCATGGGCAGAGAAGCGTCCCTGCCAAGCTGAGAAGGGGCTGGTTAGAGCAGCGCTGGGACCCCAGGAGGAGTGAACTTTAAGGGTGCTCTCTTCATTCACCAACAAGAAGCTTGAAAAGACATTTAAAGGCGCCTGTGTGGCTTAGTCAGTTAAGCATTCCCCTTCGGCTCAGGTTGTAATCTCATGGTTCATGGGTTCAAGCCCCACATCGGGCTCTCTGCTGTCAGCACAGAGCCTGCTTTGGATCATCTGTTCCACCCCCCCCCCCGCCCCGCCCCTCCCCTGCTGGTTCTCTCTCTCTCTGTCTCTCTCTCTCTCTCTCTCTCTCTCTAAAAAAAAGAAAAGGCATTTAAAGAGAGAGTGATGGCAGCTGGTGCTTAAGTGCTCACATGCCAGGCACTGTGCCAGACCATCTAAACCTCGTCTCTTTTGGGGTGCCTGGGTGGCTCAGTAGGTTAGGCGCCCGACTTCGGCTCAGGTCATGATCTCATGGTTCATGAGTTTGAACCCCGCGTCGGGCTCTGTGCTGACAGCCCAGAGCCTGGAGCCTGCTTCGGTTTCTGTGTCTCCCTCTCTCTCTGCCGTTCCCCCGCTCGCACTCTGTCTCTGTATCTCTCAAAAATAAATAAACGTTAAAAAAAAAAATTAAAAAGACAACAAACAAACCTCATCTCTTGTAATTGCCACAGTGACCTTGTGAGCTGAGGACTGTTGTTGTCTCTGGTGTATAGATGAGGAGACTGAGCCTTAAAAAGTGAATGGACTGGCTCAGGGTCACCCATTCCTTCATTCGGTTGTTTGACAGGTTTTAATTTTGCACCTACTATGTGGCATGGACTGTACTAGTTCCAGGAGACTATACAGTGGAGGACTAAACCAGTGAGCTTCTTTTCATGTGGCCTTTATGTTGGCGTGTGGGAGGCAGAGAGAAAAATGAACAGAGTGATACCAGGTGATGTTGAGTAGCTCTGAAGACCGCAAAACGGAGCGACCAGCTAGGCTGTGACTTGGAAGAGGGTGGACAGTTAGATTGGGTGGGTGGGAGGGCCCTGCGGTGGGGGCAGAGTGGGGATGCTACCGGGATCCAGAGGCTGAGATGAGGTCAACTACATAAGACCTGGGTGGAGTCTCCAGGAAGGAGGGCCGTAGGAGCCACAGCCCAGGCACCTGGGAACCTGGTAGGCTGGCACAGAGTGGGGAGCTTGGCACGGGTACAGTGAATCAGGAGAAGAGAGCAGGTTATAGGGCACAGATCCTGTAGAGCCTGTAGCCATGATGCAATGTTTGGAGTTTTTCCTAGTTTAGGCTTTAGGCTGGAAAGAGAGATGGTCTCATTACATAGCTAGAAAAGGACACTGTTGGGCCTGATTGGAGGCCCCTGATATGGGTGATGCCTGGGCTCTCTGCCCTCCAGCGTCCTAGGCAGCTGTCCTGAGTGAGGTATATAGGTTCCTCTCCAAGGTCCTTGGTGCCCATCCAGCCTCCCCCACCCATCCTGGAGGAGAGACACCACTTCTCTGGGCACAGATAGGATTCTGAGCCTGTTTTTTCCCGGTAGAGCCCAGTCCTGGTCCAGGGCCAAAGTGAGTATGCCACCCCTCTACCTTCACAGCCCTTTCTCTGTAGGCAGGACCCTCACTGGGTGCCGCCTCTGGGTATGGCAGTCTGTTGTCCCCAGCTAATGGCAGGTGGCTTCTGGGCCTCCCTTCTGTGGGCTCAGGGATGTGTTGGGCCAGGCCCGCTGCTTGTTTCTCCCCAGCGGCTGGGTCTGGTCCTGGTCTTCTCCTGATGCCTCACCTGTCTGCTTCTCTTGCAGCGTCCAGCACCAGGGACGCCTGAGCCTGGATCTGAGCCACAGGACTGGCAGCGACTACTCAGAGATGAGAACCTCTCATGGGTCCAACTCTCTGCCCTCCAGTGCCCGCCTTGGTAACTGTGCCACTGGAACCTTCTTACCTTAGTGGGGCCTGTTTTCCTCTCTGCCTGCATCCTTGTGGCCAGGCCTCCCGGTGGCCTGCCCCCATGGGCCCTTCTCTGCTCCTGGGGCTGAGGTTGGCTCCACATTGCACTCAGAGTCATCTCCCTTAGCCTTCTGTGTCTCTTAGGCCTTCCCTAGCAGCCACGTGGTTGTTCCAGGTGACCCATGGCCCACGAGCCTTGCTCTTTGTCGCTGAGCCTGTCAGCGATTCTGGGGGTTTGTATCGCTGCTCACTTGTGGGAAATGGAACCCAGAGAGAGAGAGACTGGCAGTTCCCTCACATAGGCATTCTGGTGGTGTTGCTTCCAGCCATGTGGGGTGGAGACAAGCAGTCCCCTCTGTCACTTGGGTTACTGTCCTTGTCCAGGGCTAGGAGTGAGATTTGTGGGATTCTGCTCTGGAGCGGTCCAGGCCCGCAGTTTACTCAAATACTGGGCGTTAATATCTGCTTTCCTAGACCGTTTCACATTTAGGCGCCCTCAGGGGTAAGTAGCAGGGCCTTCTTTGCATTTGTCCTGACTGTGCCTCTTTCCTAACTACTGAAGGGGTGGTGAAGGAGCAAGGGGTGGTGTTAAATCACAGCCCTGAAGTTTTGTCCCCTTGTGGAACCACAGGGTCTTCGAGCAACTTGCAGTTCAAGGCGGAACGCATTAAAATCCCTTCGACACCAAGATACCCACGGTCTGTTGTGGGCTCCGACAGAGGTGAGAACTCAGCATTCCCCTCCTCTCCTGCTAGCTGACTCCAGCCTCATTGTGTGCGATGTCTGGGTGCAGCGGGCAACCTCCTCCTCATCCCAGCCAGTCCGTGCATGCCTCAGGCCTGGTGACACGGGGGATAGAGAGGCCACGCAGAGCCCAGCACCTAAATTCGAGACCATGTGGTATGGCCATGGTGTGGAGCCAACCATGTGCCTGGATCACGTCTCCCTCTTGGTCTCGGCTACAGGAGAACGGAGATGTGAGACTGCGGCCCGAATTACTTTGCACCTCTCCCGGCAGGTTCCTTGTCACATTCTGAGTGCAGCACGCCTCCCCAGTCACCCCTGAACATCGACACCCTGTCCTCATGTAGCCAGTCCCAGACCTCAGCCTCCACGTTGCCCAGGATTGCCGTCAACCCCGCGGCCCTCGGGGAACGGAGAAAGGACCGGTGAGCGGGACCGGGCATCCGTGCCGTGGGCATGTCAGTGGGCGGTGTGTCCCCGCAGGGGGCGGGGCTTGTTGGGAGAGGCAGCAGGTGTGGGAGGGTTCGGACAGGGTCAATCCCAGGGCCAGGCTGCTTTGGGTCGCCTAGCGTTCTCTGGTGTGTTGCCCCAAAGCTTCACCAGGAAGCCCTGCCACGGAGTGCTAAGAGTGGGCAGGTATGCGTAGGGGGCAAAGTGAGGGGCAGATAGGCTGCTTCCACTGAGTGTCCACGAGAGGTGGTGAGCTGCTGCAAGTGATACTGGACCACCTGGTGGTGACGATGCAGTGGCACCATTCACTGCTTCCCTGGCCCTTGATGAAGCACTTCCGTGTCACACAAGTCAGGAAATGCTCCCAGTGACCCCATGAGCATCATTATCACCGTTGTCATCATCATTGGCTCTGTTTTACAGATAAGGAACCTGAGGCCATCCTTACTCTTTGCTTTTTGCCCTCAGGACACACCTGCATCGCTTGCCCCCTCATTCCCAGGCTTTTTTTTTTTAATTAAGTAATCAATTTATTTTGAGAGAGAGAGAGAAAGAGTGCTCATGCACATTTGAGCAGGGGAGGGGCAGAGGCAGAGGGAGAGAGAATCCCAAGCAGGCTCCACACTGTCAGCGCAGAACCTGACTTGGGACTCGATCTCACGAACTGTGTGAGATCATGACTTGAGCCGAAATCTAGAGTCAGACGCTTAACTGATTGAACCACCAGGTGGCCCCCACTGAGCTTTTTATTGTGAAATAAAATATACACAGAAGAAAACATACATAAAGCACAGAAGTATAGCTTAGCCATTTATTGGTTTATTGTAAAATGCTGGCCAATCTGCTGAGGTTTCAGGTTAACTTAAGGCTGGTATCAGTCCAGACATGCTTCCTCTGAGGGGTCCCTCACTCCCCCCACAAGCTCTGCACACCTCACCCAACTTTCTTGTTCTTCACAGTAGAATTTACCAGATCATACTTATAGTGAAGAGGTCCTATCCAGATCCTAAACTTTCAGAAGATCTGATGAAACTCAAACTTGGCTTTATTGAATCACTTAAAAGCAACAGAGCCACTCTCGTTCCCCTCAAATCCAAAATGCTGAGGGCGCTTGTCACTGTGAGCCTCGGAAGAGACCCTGCAGGGTGGGCCCAGCATTAGGAAAGTCCTTTGACTTGAAAATCTGAATT